CTGCACGTGGCTCCCACTGCCAACGACATACTCAGACAAGTATTCCAGATCATCTGGGTTTTTATTCCTTAAGATCTGTGTTAGATTGATTAATCAAACTCTCCTTTACGTCCGGACAAGCATCTCGATGCAAGCTTAGAGTTTATTGCGATGGCTTTCACTGGGTAAACAAGACATTTACGTCTGCTCGCCGCGCTCAACATCAATTTGTAGGCACTTTGTTATCTTTAAGTTCAGTTCGTAGGTCTGAACTTGGTTCAGGTGGAGAAGCAGGGGAAGGTTCATGTTGTGTGATTCGTTCGTATGTCGTTGTGTGCATATTAGTTGTGTGCATAACTGCGATGATCAATCATGTATTTATTTGTATAAATATGAATTAGGCGAAAAGTAAGTGTAGAAAAACGTAACCGGAACCTTAAAAAACGGAAATATGGAACAAATGCACTAATTTAAGAGAATAGAGTATTGTTCAAGAGGCAGCTGCTTAGAGTCATTATCTGCTTTGTTAGTGTTGGCAGCGTGTAATGACTCTTAAGTTTTACACCAGCATTGCCAAAATCAAAAGAATGGTTGCAGGACCACGTGCAGTGGGCAGACATATTTCGCATGGGTCTAGGAAGGAGACCTGGTCATTGTTTCCTTCATTAATAGTAATAGCGGAGCTCCGGCGGCCACCAAGCGGAGCACCATACTCACATAGGAAAGAAAAGGAAACCGTGAATGGACTTTCTATAATGATAAAATTAAAATGGTTAGACCTCAAGAGGTTGTCCTCCTTTTTGGAAATTGTGTAATTCGCAATTTTCTACCCAGGGCTTGTTAAGTTCTTCTGCCGCGATCACAACGAGTTGATCTTCCCGGCAATGATGACGGCGGCGGGATATTCGAAAATGGGTCAAAATTTTACTTCAGAATCTGTTATAAATTGTAACTACAGCATAGATTTACATCAATTTATGCATTAATTTACATTTATAATAGCAATCAAGACTATTTTTACTAAATTTCAATTTTGTTAGGCAACATACTCGAGTCGACGTTTGTTATTTATTAGTTTTTCGATGTTGGTCAGTTCGGCCATGATTCTTGGAGATTTCAAGGAGGATTTTCATGGTTGTGCGAAGCCATCTTAAAAGACCTTAGTCAGTTTCCGCCATATTTGACGCCATCGAAATTGTTGATATTGCATGGTGAAGCGAAATCTTATTGCTTGACTTTAAGTTGTGTACTTCAAAGTTGTTTAATTATCTTTAGTAGTTTCACAGTGATTTCCTTCGTTTCGAGATGCTCCGAATAAAATACAATAGCCAAACTCTCGCATGCAAACAAAAACAAAGGTATGGTTGACTATATAGGAAGGACCCTTTAAGAAAAAGATGACTAAGATGACTAATGAATCGAGCCAGAAACACAATTTTGCTAATACCTTATTTATTTCCCTATGGTGATTAGCCACAAGAAACATACTGTCAAAAACTCAAAGCGCGGAAACATGATACTTTAATGGAAAGAGTTGGTACCTGCTTCACTGAAAAGCCAGAAATTCCACTGATATGAGGATTGTTCATGAGAAAAATATTGCTCATAACTTCTTATTTTGCTAGAGAAGTTACTGCTCGTATGAAAAACGACATCTCTGTTAATATAAAGGTACCTTTCTTTGCGTAAATAACACCAGTGAGAAACAAAATCATGATACTCATGAAAGGCGCAACGCGACACTTTATTTTAAAAGTAAGAATCCGATGTTCCAAAATAAAATACAAGTTATGGTGTTCCTTTTGGGCGACATGTAGTTTCAAAAGCTTTCAACGAATTTCAATTGTACAGGCCTCCTCGCAGAGCACTCTATGGCAATATCCCCCCGCTCGTGCCCTCCAGTGCCCTTATACACTGTCGGTCCCGCTGCCCGATAGAATTGAACAACTTGTTCAGAAAAGTCGCATTTAAGCAAAAAAAAAAATTCACCATCGTACACGTACAATCGGCTTTGATTATAAACTACACAATCTTCACATTACCTTTACAATATAAACAGCGTGATAAAGTTTCTAAAGTGACAACACAGTGCTCCCTTGAGAAATAATCCGAGTTAACATCCTCTTTAACTCATAATAAATAAAATCTTATTAATAGAATAGAACTTTTAAGTTATTCATTAGTAGAGCAAACTAGGATAAGCTGGGGCGCTTTCCGCTTCAACCATAGTTACTATGCCTGACTTAACCGACGATTTCTAATCGTGAATGGAAAAGCAATTGCCAGAGTCTCCGGCAAAAAGAGAACAACCTCATGACGTCAGTATTAGGCCGGTATACCTGGATTTTAATTTCGACATTTTCTTACAATACCATGAATTTGCTATACCGGAACTTCAAAATTTTCAGTTAACTGATTCGCATTTCGGAACTTTAACAATTTTATGACTTACCCGAAACTTTCCCCCGAATGTTCTGCACCATTTGCTCTCGTTTCGAAAGCTTCGGATAATTTTGCTCCAATGAAAATTAATATGAGCGCCCCAGGCGTCACTTTCACACAGCCGTCGAAAATAAAACAGCTTGTTGTTTGTAAAAGAAAACCGGATTGATTCTGAAAAAATTGTTATCACTCCATCATGCATCCTCCAATTGGAAAACGTTTTCACTTCGTTACCTCTTTTGTCACTGCCCACGGGCATGCATTTATCGCTAAATTCATGCACGTTCATCTCGATATAGAAGACCAAACTTGGCACGACCTCGTGAAATAAAAACGCGGAAATAAATTAGTACTTTCTTCCCGAATTCCAGAATGTGGCTTTTATTTATGTTGTTAATATTTATTAGTTGCCTGGAGATGGTGGCAGTAGAGGTTCAGTCGATAAATCAACAAAACCTACTTTTAAGGGAGACGGCTCAAAGGTTAGCCGAGCTGAATAATAACTGGAATCGGTGGCAGTATTGAGATGATTGCAAGGCTTTAATGTTTGAATTCATTGCTGGATCGGGACTTACCATCCATCAAAATGAAAAATATGACTTTTAAAAGTTTGAGCCACTGTCAAAGCTTGGAATCAGGTCTAAAATTTGATTAATTGTTCAAACATGTCTACCTCAACATTAGGAAGAGCACGAGAGCGGAAAAGGACATAATTGGTTGTTACCTGCTCCAAATACCAGTTAAAGTTTCCCATGCCAAGTCGGGTCAAAATAATCTTGGTTAACAAAGCTAAAATTTATTTCAAAAAAATGATTAAGTTTCATGATAATTTTATAATTATACTTATACTCTTCCGTAAGGACCAGGGGAAAAAAATATGCATATGGGTCATGTATGGCGGAAGGAATTTGACAAAAGAAAGATAAACTTGCAGTTGACTGAAAGTAATACTTCAATGAGGAGGGTTAGTGCTTGTGACCATAATGTTCTTGATGCTAATTACGTTCGGATGGTTTAGGATTTATGTTTATGTTATGATGGTTTATGTTTATTGAAGGGGACTTCAACTTAGAACTTTACTATCCTGTTCATGTTCAACATTTGACTCTCACTTTTAGTTGCTGAGAAGTCTTCTACATTGATTAGTCGTTTTTAAAAATAGAAAAAAAAAAAAAAAAAAAAACACGAAAAAGAAGGTAGTCTATTCATGTACTTTCTATAGTAAATATAATATTTTAATAGCAGCAAGATGTGATGCAATCAAGATATAATCCTCGATAACATCAAAGTTTCCAAAAAATCAGATCTGTTTCGGTCAAAGTTCCAACATAGATATTATTGTCTCGCACCCAGGACATGTTTCCAAAACTCGGCAGATTTCCTGCAGAAGATGAGTAAATGCTCAATAGATTCATCTTCATCATGACAGGAAGGACAGTTCGGTGAATCAACTATACTAAGACGAAATAGTTTCTCATTTGTGAACACGCTACGATTTAAAATTTGTATTGAAACTCTGAACTTTTCCCCGTCTAAGACAATGTTTGGGTACTTGGTCATTTATTTCTGTCTAGCTGTGGACGGTACATGTTTTTTCTCCAAGAAGAGCCGTAAAGTTGCTTGAAAGAAATATCAAGAACTGCAAAGAATAAAGCGAGGGGAGTCGAATGTATCGCCGCGGACTCAAATAGTTCTGAGAATTTATACTGAATTAAGTCGTACCAAAAGTGGCAGTTAAGACACGACCTCTTCTGTTCAAACTTTTTCGAAAGCAGCTTACAGGATCATCGTCACTCTACCCTGCGAACAGTAGTTCCCTTCTCGTTCTGCTCGGTGAGAGACGAGAGGGAACCTCTGCTCACAACCGCTCGATCGTTTGGTCACAACAAGGGACGAATAAATTAAAATACTGGTTTTTGACAAGGTTTTCCGGATTTAAAAATTACGCATGACAGATAGAATTTAAGCCGCTGTCCACTTGCGAGAATGACGACAATATCTGCAGCACTGTGACTGGCTAAAAATTACAATTGAGAACACTTTACTGACATGTACTCATCCAATTCAAAACTTTCGTCCGATGAATAACTGGGAATCTTTGGTCTTAAACTGTTCAAATTGTTCTTTGCGTATTTTTCATGGGGTTATCTCTATTTACTTTATGTTTACCTTTCTTCATTTTTTGGGAATACTTTTTTCGCGGAGGAACTGCCAACGGTGCGCTGTAAAGTAAGCCCAATCAGTAGACACGGACCACTATCACCAATGTTGTCCCTGCTATTGTTCAGATCAGTCAACGTTCTACTCACTTTTAGAGCTTCAGAGAGATGAGCCACACCACTGTCACCAATGTTGTTCTCACTCACATCCAGATCAGTCAACGTTCCATTCAGTTTTAGCGCTCCAGAGAGATGAGCCGCACCACTATCACCAATGTTGTTCCCACTTACATCCAGATAACTCAACGTTCCATTCAGTTTTAGGGCCTCAGAGAGATGAGCCGCACCACTATCACCAATCTCGTTCCAAGGCACGCGCAGACGAGCCAACCTCGAATTCACTTTTAGAGCTTCAGAGAGATGACCTGCACCGCTATCGCCAATGTTGTTCCCACTCACATTCAGTGACGCCAACGTTCTATTCACTTTTAGGGCTTCAGAGAGATGAGCCGCACCACTATCGCCAATGTTGTTCCCACTCATATCTAGATAAGCCAACTTTCTATTCTCTTTTAGGGCTTCATAGAGATGAGCCGCACCACTATCACCAATGTTGTTCCGACTCACATTCAGAACAGTCAACGTTCCATTTAGTTTTAGGGCTTCGGAGAGATGAGCCGCACCACTATCACCAATGTTGTTCCGACGCACGTTCAGATCAGTCAACGTTCCATTCAGTTTTAGGACTTCAGAGAGATGAGCCGCACCACTATCACCAATGTTGTTCCGACTCACATCCAGATCAATCAACGTTCTATTCAGTTTTAGGGCTTCAGAGAGATTTGCCGCACCACTATCACCAATCCCGTTCCAAGACACACGCAGACGAGCCAACCTCCTATTCACTTTTAGTGCTTTAGAGAAATGAGCCGCACCACTATCACCAATGTTGTTCCAACTCACATACAGATAAACCAACGTTCTATTCAGTTTTAGAGCTTCAGAGAGATGAGCCGCACCACTATCACCAATGTTGTTGTCACCCACATCCAGATCAGTCAATGTTTTGTTGACTTTAAGATCCTCGGAGAGGGAACGTACATCATGATCACTAATTATTTTGCCACTCAAATCTAATCTGTTCAAGGTGGTATTGATCTTAAGTGCCTTGTATGAAGAATGTGGATTTGGGGCGTCAATGTCCAATGCTGAACCAGAAAGCTTTTCAACTGTAAGGAAAACCACAAAAAGGAAAGAAAAGTAGTTGAGAACTATTTTGCTTATACCATGGCATATGTAACGTTGTTTCTCACTCGCACAATTTATTAAAAGAAGAGAAAAGTTGTTGTTGAACACCCTGTCCGAATTTTATAGTTCGTCTAACAAATAAGGTAACGCGCGCATGATAGCCATTATCACGCAGCAAATGCCCTATCTTCGTCTGTGATGTAGCGTTTTCACAGACCGAGCTGACAGAAAAATTGGTAGACCACAGTCGAGTCTAGTTTGAAAGCCTCCTTTCAACCTTATTAGTCCTCCTAACGAGAAAAAAGCAAAATCTAAGAAACATACGTGTAGTAGAATAGGCCGAAAGATGGAATTTAACGAGAACGACCTATTGTTCTTAATGTGCTAACCAGGGAGCTATTGACTGAATTATAGAGTTTAGATACCAGATGCATCGATGTGTAAATCGATGTAAGCAAGCGCACCTAACCACCAGACGTTTTTTCGTTGCATTTTGTTAAGAATTCTTTTATTTTACCGTACAAGGAAAAGAGAAGGAACACCTCTTACTCCTGGAGCGTAGTTGTTTGTGTAACAACGTGTTTTTTGCGACCTGACGCGAAGTGACGTGATTATTTCGAAGTATTCAGTTTATTCTACTCGCTAAAGCAAAATGCATGGGATACATCCTGTTGGTTCTTGGAATTGGGACTAGTAGTTCAAATGAGAGAATAGTCGGGGTGATAAAAATGAACGCACCCTAAGATTACACTCGCTTCTACAATATATTAAGGTCGCCCAGGACCCTTACTTTTCAGTAAATTTATTAGCAACATTTCCTGAGAACTTACTATCTCATAAAACTTTTATTCTCCAAATTCTGAAGATCAGTTCCACTAACAATTATTGGTGATATTTTGGGATGATGGAATTACATTACGAGCACGAACCGCAAAACTGAAAACTCTAAATAAATGTCATTTAAAGAATTATTTCCAAGCATTTACAATAAACTTCAAGCTTTCGCGCAATCGAGCGCGGCCTTTTGTCATTTCAAATCTGCAGCTGTGTATGAGCGCTCATATGATTGGCTGAGCTATCAGCCATTAGTGTCGAATGGCTGGAGGTCGTTTACAAAATGACAACGTTTTCTCGTTTTTTTCCGAAGATTTGGAAGAAGATTGAGAAAGATTGTTGCAGATAATTCAATTCCCGAGAAGACTGAAAGAACGACATACACTGTAACTCGACAAAACCGATAAGCGCGAATACACAGCTGTCAGTTTCAAAGGATAATTTAATCGGCGTAAATTTGCTGAAGCGTAAAGTTGAATGGTAAAAAAAGTTAGAAATTGTTATTTAAAGGACATTTAGTTATAATTCTACTAAGACAATAAGATTATTTGCCCTTGATATCTATGACGTGATAACTGTGCCGAGAGGCTGAATTTGAGTTTTTTAATTGTTGTTTTTGTTCCCCTAGGGTCGATCTTGTGATTATTGGCGGCTCAAGGTTAGCCCACACATATCTTTCCTTGTACTTACTTTTATTGTTTGTTGTTCGTAGGGTCTCTAACCAGTTTTAACAGTAGCTTCAGTCGGTTGTCATGTTTGGGTGTGTCCATTGACCTTGTTTAGGCCCTCCACTGAAGTTCCTGTTTTGGCGTAAATTCTTAAGGGCTGAGTGTTGTGCTCGTTGTATTAAGTGCTTTGCTATCCATTCGTGGGATTTGGGTGAAAGTGTTTGGGTTAGTGTCCTGTAAAGATGTTCAATCGTCCAGGCTCAGTCGTCCCGAATGCCCACACATACCAAACGATAGAGTATTTTTAAAAGTGCGTGTGCATTTGTTAGTCAATCAAAAGGAGACTACCGTATAACTCACAGAATCAGGCAATAAAGATTAGATTCCTGTCACCTCTCGCAACTTGTTGCCGAGCGCCCCACTACATAGAAATATCGAGTTCAAAATCAAATAATGAAATAGTTTTTGATTACAGTAAAGTAAATCACCTGCGATCTCCTGCTCAAGTGCAGTATCGTAAAGCCTTTCCATAACAAAGCGAATCTGATCTTCTATAGGAACCCGAGTAAGAGACTGACAAGACAGCGCCTGAGAATTATTACCTGGATGAGTCGAGTCTTTTGTCACATCTGAAAATAATTTGAGAGAAATTGCAAAATTGAAACATAGTTTGAAGTTATCAAACAATATGTAAATAAAAGGTTTACTTGCATGACTCAAAATTATTATCATTTCATCATTATCATCATCATCATCATTAATATTATTTTGATGATGATGATGATGATGATTATTACTGGATTAAGGAAGTTCTAAAACGACGTACAAGCAAGAGACTATGATCGTCTGCCAGTACAAGAGTACTTTTCATACTTGTACTTGTTTTCTGTCAGGAATCGTGTTACGTATAGTGAATGTAATTCTTTTATTCTTAATTATATAGCTGCATCAAAATCCAATATTGCCAACAGATCTATTTTTTATTAATTTTTGCCAACTGTCCAAAGCTAAAATAAATTGGATAGTTTTTGCTCGAACGTTTAGTTCAGCCTTGAACAAACTGTCCAATTTGAGAAAAATCTGGATACTTTCCATCAACCAATCAAATGCCAAGATAAATAAAAGAACCGGGTATTGGTCAATCAGGTTGCAGCTATTATCACTGCCATCAAACGTCAGCGAACGATGGTAGCTCGCTAAGTCTTATTATGTTTTGATAATGGCGGAATTTCCCGACTTTTCTCTCCACCTTTTTGACGTCTCAAACTTTCAACTGGAGTCTTCAGCTAAGTTTCCACAGATAGTTGCGACTGATTTACTCGAGATGAGGGAGAATAATCACAACTAGAACTGTCAAAGAAGCACAAAAAACCTGGGTGTGCTGAGCTAAGCGAAGTGAGAAAGGTTGAGGAGATTTCCGAAGACGAGCTTGACGACGTTCTTTACCGATTTTATGCAGAGGTAAGACTGCAAAACGGAGATGAGTACGAGCCAGATAGCCTTGCTGTCATGCAAGGCTCCTTAGACCGCCATCTAAAGAAAAACGGCAAGAGTTACAACATACTACGAGTCCGTAAGTTTGCCATGTTCATCTGCTTTTGGATGCTATATAATTAACAGGTAATAGGACTACATGGTTGTCCAATTTGGAAATAATTGGATTCAGAAAATTCCTCTGACAGCCAAATTGTTTGGTGAATGTAACTCTTTCATTCTAAATCCAGTGACATCAAAGTTACAATGCTGGCTGTGTTGTGATTGGAGAACAACTGACCAAAGCTTCAAGATTTTTGAAAACTTATTTAATTAATTAAGGAAAGAGAGGAATCAATAAGAAGTAATCAAGTGAAAGTTATCTTATTAGTTGTTTTCTGTCACTATTATTCCAGGGTGTCAAAAGCCTTGAAATTTTCCCTTTCCTTTTGGGGAATTGCCGTCCAGTGTGTCCAAGTTGAATTTCTTTCACAACATTAACTGTGGTGTTTTTATGTTGCGCACTGACTGAGTTATTATAGTATATGCTATGATAGTTATGTAATATATTAAGCATGAGAGATCTTTTTTAATCAAATCTTACAACGGAGAATTTTTAGTGGGTCCGACGCAATTTGATAAAAACCGGCAAAGTATTGACTGTCTGATGTATTTTCGCTATTGAAGCTTAAAGTACGGGAGTAGACAAGCCTTTCAAAAAATCGCGAACCCCGAAGTTCCAAACTTAACTAACGGTTGCACTTCTCGCTGCCCGTTTATCGTAATTACGACGACTTTAATCAAACCTTAAAAACAAACACCAAAATGGATCGAAATTTACCAAACGTTACCTTTTGAGTTCGTTATCTGAAAGGTGCCCTAGGATGGCAGCGAAAAACTGAACGCAACCACTTTTTGAGTTCGTGTACGTGTTATCGAACGCACACTCAAAATGAGGAGAAAACGATTCCTTTGACGCTGGTAACAAGGTCGATAATAAATGGTAATTTTTTCTTAATCTAATAAAAAGAAATATCTTTACCTTTCAAAATTGAGGGCTTACTTTCTTCCGTAGTTTTAGTCCCGTTTGTCTCGGGAAATTCGACATAAAAATCTTCTGTAGCCAGGGTGTACTCGTTCCCAGCAGTCTTTGTAAGGGTGTAGGTTTCTTCGGAAGGTTGAATCTGAGTTTCGTCTCTAGCAAGGTTCGTACTTTCAGTAGTAGCCTGGGTCTGAGTTTTTCCAGCAGATGGAATCTGGCTCACGCCAGTAGCTTGAGTTCCTCTAGCTTCCGCAGCTCTTGTCCCAGTTTCTGTAGCTTCCCCAGTCCTCGTCCTAGTTTTCTCAGCCGATGGAGTCTGAGCTTCTGCAGTAACTTGGGTCTCTGTGCCTTCCACAGTCAAAGTACGAGTTTCGTTCGTAGATGGAATGTGAGTATTCCCTGAAACGAAGATCTCACTTTCGTCAACCATCTGACCCTGGCATTCCTCAGCAGGTTGAATCTGAATTTCGTCTAAAGTCAGAGGGCCACGTTTGACAGCAATCTGGGTCTGCGTTTCCGTAGAAGTTTGAGTCGAAGTTTCCCTAGTAGCCTTTACGGGTGAGCTAGCATTGCTTTCTGACAAATCAGCGTAAGAAAGAAGCAATGTTATTTTTACGTTTGAAGAAATACTACAGAAATACCTGAGTGACACAAAAGATCTCTACATACTGTGGTGTCCAGTTCGCTCAACACCCTGTGCCCTGTAATTTACCGTAATCGTTTATTTTTCTGTTGTGGGTTCTACTGGCTGGTCATCATTTTAAAACGGTGCTCTACAGCTCTCAGTGTAAGATGATTGTCGAACGATAAATCACACCTAGACTACAAGTGACAAAGCACCACAATCATTGTTAACTTGACATAGCTAGCTTCCTGAATGAAAGACATCTCAAAACCTATCGGTTTAGTTTTGACTGAATAAAAATGTGTAAACATACTTATCTCATACCTTAAAAGAATGTTACTTTCAACTTACTTGGTTTGCTCGACAGAAACTCTTTGCATGCCAAGTAATCTTCTTCTTGAATAGCTGTTGCTAAATTTACAGACTCCACATGAAATCTCCTCTTAATTTCATCTGTCACGAGGTATTTCTCCGCTATTTTATTTAAGCGCCCAGAACGATAGTCTTCCCACAGGCGTTCCAGTCCTTCTAGATTGTTGCACTTCACTGCTAACCGTAAACTATTCTCACTTCCTTCTGTTGGCGTTGAGTCGTGAATTAGTTTTAGATGCTGAAAGTACTGAGGTAGTTCATCAACTGGAACATCACTTGTTTCTTCTTCAGACAGTAGTTGTTGACTTTCTTTTCCTTCTTCTTCTTCTTCTTCTTCTTCTTCTTCTTCTTCTTCTTCTTCTTCGTGAACACCATTATCTGACTGTTTGTATTGAACGTTGCCTCTGTCTTCAAAGTTATCAAAGAAAAAAGTTAATGAAACGTGAGGAAGATAGCAAATGTTCCATTGGTGTTCTTTCCCTTCGGGTTTTAATCCATGCAAAGGACATATCCCTCGTCCTAGTTATAAACATGTAGTTGCACATATAAGGTATGTTTTTTTGACGGTATCTTTGGTTCCTTTATTTGTACGTCATTTACTGTCGTTGTCATTATCTGTAGATATCTGGACACTATTTCTGCATTAACCTTGTTGTCGTATGGATACGTATGTGGTGTATTTTAACACATATCAACGCAACACCATGCAAATATTGTACTAATATATTTGCTTTAGTTGAAATACGATACTAAACCAAAAAAAGACAAGAAAATTTTCCTGTCTGGAGCAGTGGGATCACTATTCTGCGAATAGTATCAGCAGATTGTAAATAAATAGACCAGCAGTCAGATTCAAGATTTAAAAGTTTAAAAACAAACAAACAAACAAAAAACAAAACAAAATGAGCGCTTACGTACTAAAGTAATGAATTAGTTTAATAAGTAGGCACTCAACCTAAAATTTAAATATTTCTGTAGCTTCCTTTTCAATTTTATCCTTCAAATTTGTCCTACACCCCAGGGCACAAACGAAGCATTTAATCAGTGCCTTATGTTCTGTTGATATTCGTGACTTCTTGAAAAACGTTGTAACTTACAATTAACTGCAAAGTGCACTGTCATTGGTTCATCTTCTTCAGCGGTTTGAGTCTGAGTCTCATCAGCAGCTTGTTCAATATGGCCTTGGGGCGGTGATTCATCTTCCTTCAATGATGAGTCCTGGTTCACTTCTAAATAATTCAGGCAAAACACGACTGCATTAGTATTTTTGTGATATTCTTTTTGCGCCTGTTTATATAAAAGTGTTTGAAGGAAGGTTGTCCTTCAAAAGGGTAAACGCGTACGCGACAATGTCGAAATGTATTATGGGTAATGGTGGTTCACAGTTATCACAGGAGGCCCAGACAAACTGTTTGTGTGCTGTGCACATTTACATTTTTATAGCAAATGTATGGAATTTTCCTAACACCTCGCAGAATTGCATAAAATCACGAAAATATGAACAAATACTTGCTCAATAAAAATAAATGCATCTTATATATGGTATACTGTCGTTCTTTTGGCTCAAAATTGCCCATTTTAGCAGGTTTGAGG